TTGCACGGCTCCGCAAGACTCAGAAGCCCTCAGGTTAAGCGTTAGAGGACCGTCATTATCTGAATCTTCCGGGTACTCTGATTATTAACTAATATTACACTTTATAATAATAAAATATGTAAAAATATGCAACATATTTCTACATATTTTATTGTTCAAAAGTGTGATATTAGCTGACAACTAAGCTGGTTAACACTATATACTAAATATAGTTTACTAACGTATATTATTAATTAATATTATTCTGTCCTACGTAGCTATTCTGATATTAAAATATATAAAATATACAATACGTACATAAAAGCTTATTTTTAAAATAATTACGTAGTAGGTAATAACCAAGTTATAAAAGAAAAGGAAAAGTAGCAGTGCAAATTTACATAGAGTTATTATGCAATCAATATTCTATATTTAACTTAAATGAAAAGATTAGTTGCAATTCCTTTAAGGAAATACATTGTTATACGATAAGATCAATCATTTAAAACACTTATAATTCGTTTCTCACGGTCAATTGCTTTTTTTTTAGGCGTAGGTCTTTGTTCTCCATTAAGAATTCTTTCAACTTGACAATCAACTCTTTGTTGTTCTTTTTGCATCTTCAATAATTGAATAAACACCTAAATGATTACCACTAACTAGTTTATTCTAACGGTTATGTCATCTCTCTACTTTATTTTGAGTATGTGGAAATCCAGATTCAACAGAGCTATAAATTGACCACAATTCTGGTGGATAAAGAGGTTGATTACAAGAGATATTACCATTGCTTAACTCTTTTCAAACTTTTCCAAGAGTATAAGTGTTTTCAAACTATTCTACAACTTTATGAGCAATTGGTGATATTTTTATTTTTAAAATATTGAATGTAGCAGGAATTTCTTCAGGTGGAAGAAAAGCCAAGGCAAGTAAACATCATAATTTTTTATTTAAATCTAGATCAGTTCCATATTCAGTTACTAATTTTGCTTCTTGTATTTTTTTTCATAAATTTTTTTCAAGATGGAAAAAACATTCTTTATTTATAACGCCTAAATAATAAAAACAGATTTAGTTATTATTTCTTTTTTAGAGCTGTAAATTTTTAAAATAGCAAGTATAAATATTATTTCAAAATTTAATTTTAATTCAAGTCGAAAATTTATACTTGCTATTTAAAAATTTATAGTATTTGCAAATTATTATATGAAGACTAAACTAATATTTAAAAAATTGAGAATATTTAACCTAGAAATGTATTAGATGATGCACGAATTGCTGCTTGCTCAAAATCCATATGATAGTTTGTGATTCAAGTTAAAAATCGTTATCCTCTGCAAAATCAATCAAAGTTTGAAATAGATAAGTATAAAGTTCTTCCGATTTTCTACTCATCAAAGCATATACTAGTAGAAAAACTTGAAAATTATCATTTGTGCCAACGGGTGCATAGATGGTATAAATTTGTTTAAAAATAGTAGAAACCATTTTAAAGGTACCATCCATGATCCAGTAAGGTGCCCAGGATAAGCATTGTAAATTGGTTTTTGTTGCAAATATAATAATTTTATTTTGTCCTAAATTTAAATCTTTTATTAAGAACAGATCTCCATTTAAAGTTAAATGTAATAAAACTGGAACATCAATTTCTTCAAGAGTCTGAGGTTGTGGTAGAACTTCTGCACTTCTGATCCGTTTAATTTTCATATAAAGAGCTTTATGTGTAGGTATATAAGGAGAAAGATTTAATGGAATAGTAGCAATATAGATTTGTATTGATTCACTGACAATCACTTCAAAGACAATATACTTCACTGACAATCATTTCACTGACAAGCTTATTTTACAGACGATTGATTCACCGACAATCAATTTACCAACAAGCATGTTTTACTGACAAGCTAAGTTTTATCGACATAAAAATCACTGACAATTACTTTACCGACATGATTAAATTTACTGACACGCTCACTTTACCGACACTAAAATTTACCGACAAAACATTTCACAGTAAAATCCATTTACAATAAAATTCAACAATGCACAACTTTAATATTATTAACATAAAAAAAAAGATTGGAATTAATATCCAGTGAAGAATTGTGATATTTATGCAAA